CTCCTCCCCCACTCCCAGCCACCCTGCCCTCGACCCCAGCGCCACCGCACTGCCCCCAGGATCTCCAGTGCAGGCCAGGGCCAGCCAATCCCACACCGGGGCAGACTTTCCTCCCTGGACACCCCGGGCAGGACTGGGCAGCACCAGCCCACATTTACCTTCCAGGGCATCAGCTCCCAGCTCCGGGCCGGCCCGTTGGACATTCCCGCACCCCTCAAAGGCAAATGGAGGCATCCACAGGGGGCACCACTGGCTGGCCACGCAGCCTGAGCCGACAGCCACAAGGTGTGGCCTGTCGGGGAGTGCCAGTCCCCACGAGGTCCCCCTCCTGGGAGCTGCCTGTGCCTGGGCTCGCCAGCCTCCCTACCCAGGGTCTGCGCTGAGCACCTTCAAAGCCTGAGGTCTGTGTAAGGCCCAGGTTCCACCTCCCTGCCCTGCCTCTAAAATGAAGGAAAAGAAGAGGGGATGGGGCAGGTGGTTCACACCTGGTCCCAGCCAATGAGCCAGGTCCAGCTGGTCAGCTCAGCTCACCAGGAGATGGGGATTGGGAGGGTGGACATTTCAAGGTCTTCCCCTCCCAGTCAGCCCCATGTGACTGTCATTCTGTTCATCCCAGCTGTCTGGGACACTTCTGAGGGATCACAGACCAGGCTGACCTTGGGCAAAAACACTGCAGACCAAAGGGACTGGGAGTGTGGCTCAGGAGGTGGAGCACCCTCATGAGCCAGAGGCCCTGAGTTCAGACCCTCATATTCCCCAGCACCTCCCTGGGGGCCATTTCTGCTCTCCAGCCACCCACCCTTGCACTAGGCCAGCCTCCATCTCGAGAGCTCCACTGGTCACCATGCCCACACAACCACAAGGGAGCAGATCTTCACGAGTGGCTCTGCATCCTGCGTGTTCTTTGAGGCAGGGTGGCCAGGCGCCAGGGGCCTGCATAGGCAGGCAGGGCAGAGCTCCCCAGAGCCTGGGGCAGGTGGGTGGGCGGATTAGCTCCTAAGCTCTCTGAGCCTCCCGGCTGGCCAGGCTACCATGGTGTCCCTGTTCTCTGGGAGCATCCTGGTGCGCAACAACAGTGACCAGGACACGCTGGACACCGAGGCGGAGCTGTGCCGCAGGCTGGAGAACCGGCTGCTGCTGCTGTTCTTTGGCGCGGCTGGCTGCCCGCGGTGCCAGGCCTTCGCCCCGGTGCTGCGGGATTTCTTCGTGCGGCTCACCGACGAGTTCTACGTGCTGCGTGCCGCCCAACTGGCGCTGGTGTACGTGTCCCAGGACCCCACGGAGGAGCAGCAGGACCAGTTCCTCAAGGACATGCCCGACAAGTGGCTCTTCCTGCCCTTTGAGGATGGCCTGAGGAGGTGAGGTCCCAGGGCCTGGGGGGAGGGAGCAGGGACCTGGCTTTAAAGAGCCCCCCACAGGGTGTGACCCCAGAAATCAGCAGGGACAGGGGAGAGAAAGCAGCCAGAAGCATGGAAGAGGACAGGCAGAGCCCCCATTCCTCAGTACCTGGCAGTCAGGGGGAGGGGTACACTGGAACCAAAAGCAGGTCATATGACAATGGTGTTAGAGGTTATTTGTTTATTTGTTTTTTGTTACTGGCCAGTCCTGGGTCTTGAACTCTGGGCACTTTCCTTGAGCTTTTTCACTCAAAACTATCGCTCTACTATTTGAGGCACAGCTCCGTGTCTGGCTTTGTGTTGGTTAACTGGAGATAAGAACCTCAGACTTTCCTGCCTGGGCTGGCTTCAACCCATGGTCCTCAGATCTCAGCCTCCTGAGTAGCTAGGGTGACAGGTGTGAGCCATGGCGCCTGGCTTTGTTCTTTTTGAACTCCAACCAGTGGGAAAGCATGTCCAGAGGCTGCATGGAGCATGTGCAGAGTCAAGTCCCATCCCACACCTAAAGAAATAAATGTCAGATGTCCAGGAAGTCTACATAAACCCAGGAGACCGGTTACTGTTTGCCAGGTCTAGGTGGGTGGGTGGCTTGTATGGATGCGCTCAAGGACAGAACATAAGGTGGCCACTTCCTGACCTTCCACTCGGCCACCGGCCATGGGGCTGTGCCCTCACCCACTGCCTGTGCAGCCCTAGCCCCTGGGCCTGCCCACCGTCCTCTCAGCGCTCACCCAGGGCCGGTCCTTGGCGTGGCCTGCCCCCAGCTGCACCTTCCCGCGTGGAGTAGGGTTCTCCATCCCAGGGCTGTCACCCCACACCCTTCCCCAGCCACACTGAAATCACTAGCACAAATGCAGAGGAGGCCAGGGCTCTGGGAAGCCCAAGGCAGAGAAAGCTGCTCAGCACAGGAAGAAGCTCCTGGGGGCTGAAGTCAGAGAAGCACGGTCTTAGAGAGAAACCATGCTGGGGCGAGGGCACTAGGTGCAAGGCATGTCCAGAGGTGGGAGGGGACCTCAGGCAGGGAGGACCAGGTCTCCGGCGGGGAGGACCAGACAGGGAGGCCCGAGCGCCCCAGCACGTCCCTGGCCGGCGAAGCGCCCACCGGCCGCGTTCCCCGCAGGGAGCTCGGGCGCCGGTTCTCCGTGCAGTGCCTGCCGGCCGTGGTGGTGCTGAAGCCGGGCGGGGACGTGCTCACGCGGGACGCAGCCGACGAGATCCAGCGCCTGGGCCCCGCCTGCTTCGCCAACTGGCAGGAGGCGGCCGAGGTGCTGGACCGCAGCTTCCTGATGGCCGAGGACCTGGAGGACCCGGTGCCGCGGAGCTTCACCGAGCCGCTGCGCCGCCGCAAGT